CGCATCTCTGACTACGACTCGGAAGACAATCGTCACACCGAAGAGGAGAACGGATCCCACAATACGTTGACTTCCAATGAAAAGACTGAGAAATCAGAGAAACAAACGAATAAAAAATCAAATGAAAATCAAAACGAAAAGAAAGAAAACGTGTAATCGATTTGAATCGATGTCCGAAGCGATCATACATTCCATTCATTACAATACAAATCCAATCAGTATTTGAAGACAAAGTCATTATTTTATAGTTTTAATAGTTTTTATTATACATTATTATTATAATTATAAAGTATTAGTAAATACTTAAGCCTTAGAAAAGCAATCAATTGAATACAATAGCACTCAAATCGGTTGTGAATTTGTATCGTTTAGTGCCTTAACCTTTCATTAGAGAGATTTCATCAAATATTTTGCCATTTCTTCTCATTTTTATATAAATCTCATTTTTCATACTTTATATCATATAATAATTATGACTAATATTTTTGTACTAATTTTATACATGAATTCAAATCTACTTAAACTTATATTTTTATATTTTAATGCCGTAATAAAAATTAAATAAACTTATATCCGATGTTTTAATTTATTTTCAAAATTTTACAAACAGTTAATTATAGTTGAATTACAAAACGTGTCTAAAAGCCCATCAATGGTAACTATTTTTGTCGGGGTTTCTTCATTTTCTTTCTTAATTCCTCGCGTTTAGCCATTCGGTCGCGAAGAACATTATTAATGTTAGATCGAGTGATCGTCACCTGAGCTTTGATCGCTGGAACCGATGGAACCGGTTTTATAAGGCCTCTCTTGACGAAGAACTCGATGGAGTAGAAGGAGACGCCAACAGTTGTGGCATATCTGGCGGGAGAGGCCAACTTGTAAAGGATCAACGCTAGCGCCACATAACCGGCAGATCCGGCGTTCGTATCGCTGTTCAACACATTGATGATGAACTCAGGAAGTGGTAGTTTCTCGGCGAACGGCTTAATCACATCCAATATACTCTTCACGTCAAAACCACTGAAATTAATGATATATTAAAGTAAATGACACATTGAGTGGACGTAACGAAAGTCAATCCAAACCTCTTGGCGACCAGATATGAAGCGCCAAACCAGAGACCACTAGTGATCACGTGAACGGGTATTGATATATACCAGTACTTAACAAACATGAACTTTAATTTCTTGGTTAACGACAATTGTCTCATTTGCTGCCAATCGTCCAACTCTTTCGCTTTGGTCGGCGGCGTTGTCTTCGAGGTCTTGTCGCGGACTCCAGTCCTAAGTATTTGATCCAATCGTTGGTTTGTGTGACTTCTTATCGAAAAACAGCGAATCGACTGAAATGTCTTTGAAATACATTTAACCGAAAGTCGAGTGAAATCATGGCTTCTTGTGATCCAAACATTTGGCAAACGTTTAAATAAAATGTAATTTTTGTCATCACTTCGTTTGCCGTAACTCTTAATGCAATTGAAGCAAAACTTTTGTGATTTACTGTCAGTTAATAATCGAAATGTATTTTTGCACATAATATTCATTGTATTCATTGTTTAATATATTAAAAACATTAATATATCCGACGATTAATAAACTAATGATAAAATCAAACGTAAATAAAATAAACAAATATTTTGTTTCAAAAACATGTGAATAAGTGTTGAGATATAGCGATATCTGTTGTGCAAATGTCTTCACAATACTATATTAATAACTACTGTATGCTATGCTATGAATGCAATAATTGATTGCATTTCATAATTCTTTATCATTCATTGCCATTACATATTAATAATACACTTTAAAAAATGCCGATTCATTTATGTTTCAACATGGTCATTTGTATTACACCACGTAAATGTACAAAGCACACATACTTTCAATTATAAAAGTTGCCCCAATTTGCTCCATTGAAATGTACCGATAAATGATTCCTTAATGAATTGACAGATTCTGTTACTGTTTATCAATTTGTAATTACAATTCTGTACAGAATAATGTGATTTACAGAATCGGTTGAAGGCATAGGTTTACAGATTGGAGTCAACAAATGTGACTTTCAACCAAACTAATTGTTTTTAGTCAGTTTTAAAACTTAAATTTTAATTTATTAATATAAAAAATAACGAAATAATACAAATAATTGATTGTTTAAAAATATTTTATATTAAAAACTCTTACTATTTGAGATA